ACACATGGATCTACAGAGCACTTTTTTTCTGGTCTTCCTTATTAGAACTTGGCAAGCTGCACTTCAAATTTCCAAAAAAGCATGAAAATGAAAACTATTAATGAAAAATCTGCAGGAAACCTTTCTGAGGATTCTTGCAAAGCAAGAGTGGTATTTTGTTCAGTTTTGTAAAACAGATCATTGGCTCCCTGACATTCTCAAAGAGAGTTGCAGAGACCTGTTCCAGATGGTGGTATGCCAAGGACAAAACTGTAATGCAGTATATTGCCACACTCAGTTCATTACCACACAGAGAAGTAATGCTTTTAAGCTCAATTAAATTTTTTCCCTTTTTTTTTTTTTAAAAAAAACAGAGTTTATTCAGGCTGCAGGAAGCAGAAGTTGCTTCTGGGAGCTGTAGAAGGATTGCACAGGGATGGGGGCGAGGCCTCAAGAGAGGATATATTTCTTTATTTCCTTCAGGGCTGTTGTTTTTTCCATTGAGAGGAGGGAGAGGGAGGAGGAGATCTGCAAGCTGTAAAAGCAGTTTTCAATCAAGAAAACTTCTTTTGGTTAAGTACTCCCAGTTCCCCACATGCTGTTTGGTAAACGAAATAAATGTGGACAGGTTTCATTTGTACATAACCTTATTAGAACTGTCTGACTGTTTCTAGTATTCTTTTTATATATTACACCATTAGGGAGCTTTTTATAACATCTACATTGAAGTATAAACATTTCATAATGGGAAGAGTTATGACCTCTGATCCTCAGTACAGCACAGCATTTGGATGTTTTTTTTCTGAGAGACGGCATCCACCCTACCAGAGTGCTCCAGCTCAGCCATTCTTCTTGGGGTGATCAGTGGAGGCACAAGAGGCATCTCATCAGCACTTCACAATAGCCCCTCTTGAAGAATTTTATACTAAACACCTTGAAATATTCAACGCTTAGTCACAAAGCAAGATTGCTTGCTTTCCAAATTACAATGTAGAAGTTTTTTTAAAAAAATCAAACCCATGAGATATTAAGTACCAGAAATATTGAACTCCAGAAAAACTGGTGGTAAAAATTGAAGGATTTACTTTCTGTGTAAAGACTGTTAAAGCATTTAAATGATACACTGTGTCAAATGCTTTAAAATATGTGTATTATATCTATAGATTTTGTATTTAGAGCAATTTGATTTTCACGCACATTTTTAAAACAAGACCAAATTTAAACCCAGTAGACTGGATTATAATATAATCTACTTCAGAATTTTTACAACTATTTATTTTATTTTAAAAAATACAGGAAAACTTTTAGAAATGGGAATGGAAAATGAATAGTTGGTATCTATGCTGAAATTTTCTGTAAAGTAACTGTATTAAATACTTGAATATAGGTTGGATTCTATACTGTACCACATAGCACCTAAAAATTAAACAATCAGGGAAACAGACCTCAAAGAATCTTAAAACCCAGTGAACCTAATAAACCATAACACTGGGTCTAAACGATAAGTAAAAATAAATAGAAGTATATTAAAACCAAACAAAGAAACTAACCCTAAAATAACTCAGTAAAAATTATTCATTATGTTCCAGGTTAAACATGTCTCAGCAATTTAAAGACTTAAAAAAGAAAACAGTATCACAAATAGGTCAGAGAATAAAGCTTCTGTGGAAGTTGCAGGAAATCTTAAGATAAACCTCACCCTGAAAACACTAAGCACCATGTAAAACACCATGCAGCCACTCTCTTGGTGCATGCTGGAAATATCTCAGTGGATGGCAGAGTTCAACACAGGTTCTTAAAGTTCTCAGCACATCACTTCCACAGATCATAAAATAAACCCAGATGCAGCAAAACTAACTGCCAACTAAAAAGCAAAAATCCTGAAAAAGAACTGTAGTAAATGTGTAAAATTTTAAGCCAAAAGGACAAGAAAAGAGTCACACCAACTTTCTCTTCAAAAAAATTCAAGTTGTAATTAAAATAGAGTACTGCATACCAGAAAGGAAAAGCTAATGTATTCACTTACAACTGATCTAAATTAAAACCCAAGTAGAAGGTTCATTCAAAAGCAATTTCAAAACAAACATACTTATTTGTCAAATATATTCTAATAAAATTTTATTTTGGAAGTCTGCTGAGGAAAAGAATGTCCAAGTAGTTATAAAAGAGAACTCAAATTATCTGTAATAGTTGTTCCCTTATTCTTATCTTAATAGCTTTTCAGGAATCCCTCCAAATTTCCTATCCAAATCTATAACCATAAAGCTCAGAACAAAGTGTGCTGGCAATATGATTTCAGTCAATGGGAAAAAAAGGGAAAGTCAATTCCTCAGTGTCTGGTTTTGCTATGTTAGCTTAACTTGCAAACTGTCCAGAGTCCTTTGAGATTAATGTCATCTTATCTTTCAAGAAATGCCAGTGGCCCTATGTTGTGTTGTGAGAAAGAACTTCGTGGGCAACTTGCCCAACATCAAGGCCCAACGAGAACATCATACACACTTTTTCAAGGCTAAAATTTTTTTTTAAAAAAAGGTCTATGGAATTATAGTAGTTAAAAAGAATAAATAAATCATTAAAAGACAGGAAAGAACCAGGTGATCTTCTAAATGAAGAACAGATATTATTAATGCGTTTAAATTTTTATCTGTACTCCTATCACTCCTTGTGGTTTTATCATTACTTTGGTTAGATCTGTTTTTCCTGACCCTAGTTTTTCAATGATAAACTGGAATTTATTCTGGATCACATCTTTTTCCTGCATGCACTCCTCCAGAGTGAGCTTATTTGCTCTCTTGGTCTTTGATCAATTAATCATTTACAAAGCTCAGTCTGCGTGACATCCTCACATAACTTCTTTTGCTACAGTTTGCCTCATTTTCAGAATAATCTCTGAGAGTCTTCTCATCTCCTCTTTTTTGAAAAAAACCATCAGTTTTAGGAACTCATCTCTCAATTCAGATAGGAATCTTATCTTAGAAACCATAAAATTATGCATGCATTTCATAAAAATTGGACTGTTTTTGCATGAATTAGATATAAAGGAGTGAAAACAAATAAATAAATGTGTGGGCATCAGGCATCTTCTAGTAGAAATACTTCTAAATCCACAAAATTATTTTTGAAAGCTTGTTCTTGGCCATCAGACCTTATTCCTGTCAGTTTGGAAAGAGAATTCTGATTACTGTATAGTCTATAAAAATTTAGTTTTAAACCACCTGTAAGAATTTTTAAGTATAAAAAATTATATTAAAACTGAAATAAAAATTTCAAATTTTAACAGATTAACAATTGAAAAAATGCTATTTTATATTTGAAAACTTTAAAATTTAAAAGACCATGCAAGTGTATGCATGCTTTATCTTTCAACTCTGTTTAAGTAGAGAGCAGGGCTTTACATACGTCTATCATACAATACACAATAAGGGAGACTCAGTTGAAATATCTCATTCTCAAAATTCATCTGGTTTTAGTTACAGAAGTGCAAAAAACAGTTCAGAACCAATAGGAAATGTTCTACTTTATCCTCCTCTAACTTAGAAATGTCTAAGCTGGTTTTACTCAAGTTTTGTAAAAATACAAACAAAAGAAGTTTAAAAAAGAAAGAAAAAAAAAAGAAAAACCAAAACCTCTCGTTGCCTGTAGACTGAGAAGCTGAAGTCTCAGCCCTGGAGTTATTTTTATGGACATATAGTAAGCCACTCAGAAAAGAGCTTATAATGGAAACAAAGGCACAGAATAACTAGACAGTAACTACAGTGTAACAATAACAGTAATATGAATTTTAAAAGTATAATCCAAAGCTCCATGGAAATGTGCTTCTAATGTAAAGCAAAAACAATACAGAATTATTTGATTCATATATACTGCAAATGATATATGCAGTGTTTGTGCTATGTAATTCTAGAAAAGAGTAAGTTAAAAAAAACTTCCTACCTACTGGCCATGTTCCATTCAAGTGCTGGATTTTGCGAATTTCTTTCATTCTCTGTCAAAACCCCTCCTTTTCCATTTTCCTTCTCTGGTTTCAACTGATTCCAATGAGCAGTACCAATGTTTATAGATTGAAGATCTACTTGATACTGCCTGTCTTCAACCTCTGATCCAGGGTCTCGAAGTATTCCTAGATTCAGTGCTCTCCTGTAACGCCAAAGGAAAAAAAAGGAAAAAAAAAAAAAACCAAAACAACCCCATCAACAAAAGTCAAAATCAGACTAATCAGATATACATTAAGATACAAAATTAAGGTATCAATTTTGCCATTCTTGATTACATCTAAGCATTATTTTAAGTCCTTCAGAAGTATCCAGCTGTCCCCTTCCTATGGAATTCAAAGAGAGATATGCAAATAAATATACTCCAAAATTTAGCCAGATCAAACAAAGTCAATACGAGATCAATCCATTAACTTCACGAAGCCCTTTCAATCAGGTCCATATGAGTAGCCTTATGGGGAAGCAAGACTAAATCAGACTAACTTTAGCTACTGAGCAGATAAAGGATGTCACATTCAAGTCCTCAAAAAGAACAGTCACATATCAGTATTACGAACAACTTTTTTGTGAGACAACTGATCCACTGTTCAACTTATCAAAGAAATAAAAATTAAAAAGAACATTCCAAGGTGATGGAAAAACAATACAATCTTTTAAACATGGAATTTCAGTACAGACCTTTGTTAATAAAATTCTTCTGACAAGTGAAAAAAAAGCATTTTTGAGTGAATCGCGTTACCTGTGGATTCTGCTAAATTCTACTATGTTAGATTTTACAAAATTTTTCAGCCTTGAGCTGAGCTTGGGAAACAGTCACACCCAACTTCAACAAAATTTTCAAGAGCTATTGGATGAGTGGAGGCTGCTAAGACCACTCTTACCAGTCACCAGTATCAGAGGAGCCTCTTACTACCATTTGTCTTCTGCTAATAAGCACTATCTTGCCCTTTCTACACTGGGAACAGTATAGTTTTATGCACACTGTTCATTTGATACTATAATAAAAATGCACAATTGAACTTAGGTTTTTCAAAACAAGCCAGTAAAGGTACCAAGATCTACATTCTTTTGCTTTGAATCTGTGTTTATGTGAATTTGTAGTCTATTTTTATTGATTTCATATATTTGAGTTGAAGCCTAAGCTTTCTATTTGCTTAAGCCATCCAATCTACTCTTCTAGGTTTTCGTCTTATACCAGAGTCATTATTTGGTATATTACTGCTGTCTCCATAGGAAACATAATAATTCTGCAATTTGTTTAATGATTGGCGCTAGCAATCTAAAAAATAAATAAGGATTAAAGCAGCACATCTCCATCTGTGATGCACGCACTGCATGCAATCTGTAAGTACAGGTATGCAATCTATTGCAAAGCCCACTCTCAATGCTGCCCAAATTTAAACACAGTTGAAACCGTGAATACCATTGCCATTGTCACCAATGGAGTATGCTAGCAATTAGGAAAATGAAGTAATTAATCATATTTACCCACAGAGGCATGTGAACAGCAGGAAAGCCGTTTTGATCAAGTCATTCCTGGTGAGGCAGCATAATCGCATTGTTCAGTAGCCTTATAACTTTCTTAAATGCTTAGCAGAAATACACTGAAAATCTGTTATGTCAGTAGTGGCATTTCAAAATTAAATGTGGTTTCTTAAAACTCAAGAATGTGTTTGTCAACTTTCCACAAAGAGAGATCTAACCACAACAACTGTGTCTTTTATTGTTCTTTCTAGGCATTATTTCATCAATATGAATGCAGTTCTGTTCATTGATTTCTTTTTTTTTAAACCACCAGAGTAGATTACTGTATGACCTAGTGGCTATTTACATACTTTGTCTAATGTAAGTAAATATTGGAATATACATTTTATGAAATATTACTGGAAAATAAAGCATAAAATTTCATGTTTTATGAAATCTGTTTAAGTATATAAAAGATAGAATATGATATTAATTTCACCTACATAATGAATTCTCTCCTGTACTTCACAGTAAAGACCATTTTTCATCTGTTGTTTTATGAACAGCTTGAAAACGTGAATTAAGCTGCACCTAGTATTATATTCCTTAGGCTCATTCAGCACAACCATGACCTTGTGAACCAAATTCCTAGAGCAAAATGTGGCTGTATGTGTCAATCTGAAACTCCCCATTGTGACAATGACCATGAGCCAGCAGTGTGCCCTCATGGCCAAGAAGGCCAATGGCATCCTGGGGTGCATTAGAAGGAGTGTGGTTAGTAGGTCAAGAGAGGTTCTCCTCCCCCTCTACTCTGCCCTGGTGAGGCCGCGTCTGGAATATTGTGTCCAGTTCTGGGCCCCACAGTTCAGGAAGGACAGGGAACTGCTTGAGAGAGTCCAGAGCAGAGCCACGAAGATGATTAAGGGAGTGGAGCATCTCCCTTATGAGGAAAGGCAGAGGGAGCTGGGTCTCTTTAGCTTGCAGGAGACTGAGGGGTGTTTATATTAATGTTTATAAATATGTAAAGGGCGAATGTCAGGAAGATGGAGCCAGGCTCTTCTCAGTGATGTCCAATGGTAGGACAAGGGGCAATGGGTGCAGGCTGGAGCATAGGAGGTTCCATGTAAACATAAGGAAAAAATTTTTCACTGTGAGAGTGACAGGACACTGGAACAGGCTGCCCAGGGAGGTTGTGGAGTCTCCTTCTCTGGAGACATTCAAAACCTGGCTGGACGCATTCCTGTGTGACCTACTGTAGGTGATACTGCTCTGGCAGGGGGATTGGACTAGATGATCTTTCAAGGTCCCTTCCAATCCCTAACATTCCGTGACTCTCTGATTCTGTGACAAAGGCTTTCTTCCCCTCATAAATTTATTTATTTAAATATAAAACCTGATTAAATCACTCTTTGGCACACATTTTTAGGTGCAGCAAAATACACAGAGCTACTTTTCAGGTATAAGGTTGTCCTGGTTTTGCTAGGATAGAGTTAATTTTCTTCTCAGTAGTTAGAAGAGCTGTGTTTCGGTTTCAGTTCAGACTTGCTATGAGAACATCGTTGATAAAAGTACTGATGTTATTAGTTGCTGCTGGAGCTCAAGGCCATCGTGTTTGGCTGTTCACAGCTGCATTAGGACTGGG